TAGTGAATAATGAATAATTATATTGAATGTAGACAAGAGAAAAAGACGAGAGTGTCGCAGCCAACATGCGTCAATATGGAATGAGTTCCTATTATCTCGATGTCGTGGTGTCAGATTTTTCGTATCCACTGTGGCGAGCAGACTTACGAATAGATGCTATTGTAACGGATCGTGAGTATAAATGTTGCATAAAATTTTCAAATATATATTATGGAAAGCCTTTAAAATTGACGAGTAAAGCAAATTACAATTTTATGATAAGAATTTAATGTTAGAAAAGAAACTCTTTTGCAGCACCTTATGGTATAAGGGAAGCCACAGAGCGTATAGGTACTATGAAAATAAATCCAGTGATAGAGGAACATCAAGCAACTTCTCACATTCCTTCAAAAATTGTTTACGGCTTGAATCAAATATATAAAGACTTGTTGTGTTTCTCTGCGAAACATTTGAGACTTCAGGGCAGACTGGTCTGTTGGTATCCATTGTTTAGGTATACATAATATTTATTTAACATTTATATATGTAAAGAAATATCGCAACACAAAAAATTATTGAGTACCTACTAATTATCGACCGATTACTAGACAAATATTGTAAATTTTTTATTTAGGGACCAGTACGTGGAAGATCAATTACCAGCGCATTCTTGTTTAGAGCTGATAGCCAATTCTGAGCAAGTATTGAGCAACTACACCAGTAGAAGATTATTAACTTACAAGAAAGTTAAAGAGCCGGAAGTACGTATGCGTGAACTATAACATTTTATTAATTCTTAGTTTTCACATCTAGAAAATTTCAGATAAAATGTAAACACGTACTAGAATTCTTTATATAATATAGAAGCAATTCCTTCTTTTCTAAATTAAAGCCGAGGTTTATTCTCATTTTCTATGATCTTACATTTCGCTGGTATGTTATTAAACTATATAGAATATTTAATTTTTGGTGGCAGGCAACTGACGAGAGCGTTATCATGAATTTAGTTGATTTCCGTGAGAAGTATTTTGCACTACGCGAGGAAACGAGGAAGGAAAAACGAACGAGGAAAGCCGCAGAAAGAGCAAAGAGACGAGAGGAGTGGGAACGAAGCAACAAGGAAGTTACCGAAAGATGACTGTAGAACAGTTTTATACAGTATTATATAAAGGAGCAGTCTTTTAATTTTATATATCTTACTCTCATTACGAGAAGATATATAAATTATTCAAAATTATTTGTCAAAGTATGACTGTCTGCTTTTGCAACTCTTGTTTATTATGTACAGAATAGTAAAAGTTGAAAGGAAAACAATGTCGACTATCGCAACGATTTAGAAATAAATATTTTTTGCACACATGATATATCCTATCCATCAACACCGTTTTTTATTGTATTAATAAATGTAAGATATAACCGATACCTAATTACCAATGAAATAACGATGATACTGAATGAGTTATTACAGAGTCGAAAGAGTGACGACAATTACAAAATCAATGATCATAACATTTACTTAATAACATATACGGTAAGGTACGGAAATACGAATACGTATATTCAGAAGGTAATTACGTATGGTGCACATAAAACTCGACAATGGTACTAATAGATTAATTAACTAATATATCAACACATACAATTGTATATGGATATTGACAAAATTACCTGGAACAAGACAAAATTAACTGCAGCGTAATGTACGTACGTTATATATAAATGAATATTAAAATAAGAAAAAATACCGTCCGAAATGTATTCTGATCAGATTTTGTTACGTTTTTTTTTAACTACACAGAGTTAAAAAACGCATCTAAAGTTTTTCAGGTTCGGTAGATTCTTTGGAAATTGATATTGCAATATCTTTAAACATATATCACTTACATATATCTCGCAAAATTGAAATAAATATAAGAATCGTTAAATATCATAATACCTAAGCTTCAAGTTGCAATTGTCCTAGTAAACGTTCTACATTTTTAATGTCTTCATTTAGAACTTTACTTTCATATTGTTTCTCAATTTGTTTACTAGCCCACTCACTCAGTTTCATCGCTTCCTTCTTCTTGGTTGAAGGACATTTAGGTGATGTTGCAATATTATTTGTCGTCTGAAAGTAGATAGACATTTGCAAAAATATAAAATAAAAACTTTTCGTAATTGCTATGTAGGATTATAATGCGACAACGAAACTTACTAATAACAAGCCATATAGAGCTCTGATATTATTTGGATTTAATTTTGCAGCTTGGCAGAAATATGCTTTTGCTAGTTCCATGTTTTCAAATCCGCCCTATATAATAAAGCATAATTTATATAAACTTCTTTTTATATTGATCTTACATTAACAAAGTGTCTAAAAATGTCTAAGGTATATATTATTAATTCAGTAAGCAATTTTTGCTAATCTAAGTAAATATGATTATTATTATCATAAAAAAATGTCATAAAATCCTAGATATATGCATTACCTGAGAATATTTTATTTCCGCGTATCTTTGGTAAATTAAATGACTGTGTGGATTATGTAATATAAGTTCTTCCATGCAATAAGCTGCTTTGGAATATTCCTGTTCTTGTAAATATAGGTCACACAGCTCGTGCCATGCTTCTTGATCGCTCATGAATCTAAATGATTTCATAGCATAATGTTACACACAATTTTACATATAAATAAATTACATATAAGCATTGAAATACAAAATACATATCACCCACCTTTTCAAATACTCTGTAAGCTCCTTAATTGCTTCTGGTATACGTCCCCGAGCCTTCAAAATAGCGACACGACGTTTTCTTGGCGCGGCATTGGTCTCATCTCTCTTTATGATGGAATCCAAAACTTCCATCGCTTCATCATACCTGGAAAAAATATCGATAGAGAATATCAGAACAAATATTACTACATATTTGCACATGCATAATGACACATTATAAAATTACATTTCTAACGCTTCCAAATGCATGGCGTGATACTTGTGAACGCGTAAACTGCCAGGAAAGGCGCGCATTAAAATTTTGATGCAATATTCGGCTAACGGTAATCGATAACAATCCAATGCGGCGACACACACTTGTTCCAGAACCAGATACTCTGAATAATGAAAGATAAAATATTATATAAGTACAATATACAACTTTTGACAGGTTTAAGAATAGATATATATTAATCGATAATACTTTCGTTGCCCAAACGATCGATCTTTCCCATCAGTGTATTTTCCCAAAAGTCTACTACATCTTTACTTCGTCGCTCAGAATCTTCTCTCCAAGTTCTCAGCAAATCCCGTACTTCTGTATAACAAAATCATAAAGAAAATTATCATCACAATTCTAATGCAATTAATTCTAAAAAATATACCATTGATTGTAAA